TATGTAAGTAACAAGAGCATATTTTGAGGCCCACTGGCGATATACAAATTTAAGTCAAGTCTCAGAGAAAAATAATAAAATAATAATCATCATCCTTGCATTTGATATAGTGGCTTATCACGTCTTTGAGACATCTCAAAGCGCTTCATAGAATATAATGGAAAGTGAATGGACTATATATTTTGTGGGCGAAATGCAGCAGCAATTGTACGCAAGTGTCCCCCAAACAGTTGTAGATTATTTTGAAGGGATTATTACCACCGGAAAAGCGATCCGCCAAACAACTAACAAACGGATTCCTACTTACTGCTAGGTAAACAGTGGCATATGGAGTAAGGAATCTTGCTTAACATTTCACCCTGTCCAGGAATCGAACCCAAATCCTCTTGCTTGGGAGGCGAGTGCTCTAACAGAAATTCAATGCTCACATTAAACAGTAACTTTCTAATTAACTTTCTTCAGTTGAACGTCAACAAGACCGAGAATCTTCTAATTGGCTCCCGTCAGCATCTCCACACCTCAGACGCTGACAGCATCACCATCCATGGTTGCACACTCCACCTTGCTAAGCCAGTCTGGAAGCTTGGGGTCTTGTTTGACCCTCAACTATTCTTTCTACCCCACATCTACACCATGACCCGCTCTGCCTTCCCCCACCTCCGCAACGTCGCCCGGCTCTGACACTGTCTCGCACCGCAGAGACTCTCATACATGCCTTCATTACATCGAAGCTCGACTATGCAAACTCAATGCTTGTCGGCCTCCCCAACTTCTCTCTCCACAGGCTGCAGATCATCCAGAAATCTGCAGCCCGTGTCCTCTCCCGCACTAGGCTCTGCGACCCTATCACCCCCATCCTTGCCCAACTCCACTGGCTTCCCATCACAAAGAGGATACAGTTCAAGATCCTGGTCCTCACCTTCAAAACCTTCCATGGTCTTGCTCCCCCCACCTCTCCGACTTCCTAACCCACTACTATCCTGTTCTCTCCCTCCACTCAGCGGGCTCGGGCCTGCTTCAAGTCCCCCGCCTTGCTTGCCCCACTATTGGCGGGCAGGGGACGCTGCACCCACCCTTTGGAACTCCATCCCGCAGTCCCTTCGTCTTGCCCCCTCCCTCGCCACCTTCAAGAACCACCTCAAGACCCTCCCCTTTGACCGTGCTTTCGATTTCCTTGCTTCCCCCCACCCCCCGCCCCGACCCTCAGCTCAGGGCTGTAACTCTGCCTGTCCAGCGCCTTGGGATGTTCTCCCGATATGAAAGGCGCTATACAAATGTCATTTTGTTGTTGTTTGTTATTGTTGACAAGGCTCATTTCTCTCGACACCAAGCAGACTTCAGAAATGCTGAGGTTGTAAACCCGTTCTCTTGGCAGAACAGCGTCAAGATTTCAGTTTAATGCAAACGGAATAAAAAAAAGGGTGTAAATGAAAAACATAGCCACTGTAAATATGGGTATTTTCACCAGCTTTTGCCATCTTGATCTATGTTTCTTTCCTGAGAGGCCAACAGATGGTGGGAAACGTCCGCCACATTATCATTTGGAAATGATTATTTAATAATTAAAAGTAACACAGCTTTTGCAGTGAAAGTATAATAACTAACTGGAAGTTATTAAACAACCCTGAAACCAAGGGACAATAATTGCACAACAAAATTACTCTCTAAAACAATATTTTTGTTTGACTAGATATACAGTCTTTTCACTTTATGAAAACAATCGGATGAAGCACTTTGAAGGACATTTTGATGTCGTGATAAGACACTATATCAAAAACAAGGATTATTTATTTAGCTGCCCAGTTTTATAACATGACATTAAACATTCAGCCAATTCAATTTTAAACACTAGGAGCATGGAAATACTAAAACAAAATCTTTTTAATGGAAAAGGAAATTATCGGACAGTTTGTGCAGGCCATCTTCCCTGAACTAATCTGGCAAACCGGACTGTTTTGCCTGCTGCATTTTTAGGATGGGTGGGGTTCTTCCAGAATGTTGGTCTACAGAAGGCAGCAAGGCAGTTCCACAGTACTGGTGATTCAGAAACCAACTTGTTAATAAGCCGTTTCTTTCACTGCTGTTGCCAATATGCTTCTCACATCCCCTCAGTGTATGTCAAACAAAACCATGGCATCACCACTTGCAATTACAATGCACAGAAATCAATTCCAAAACCATGAAAGTACGCAGATAAAATGGCCACAAGACAGCAAGTTCTGTGGCTCATTTCTAACCAGCTTGATGTAAACTGTAACAAGCAAAACAGAGATGCTGATAAAACAAGACATAAAGGTCACCTACGCAGAAGACCTCCTGATGCTACTGTCCCTATAAACTGCAGTAACAAACCAATTACCTGAAATGAGGGCAGTCTCAAAAGTGGTCTTTTGAACAGGTTTTATCATTCACAAAAGACAACAGTGTAGTACCCACCTCATTCCAATACATTGTGCCACTTTTACAATGGTTGATACATCCAGTGATGTGCAATCTGGAAAGCTAATGTGTGCACAACGGGTGAGGCCAATTGCATGAAATTAATCAAACATCATTTTTAAACTGTTCAGTGTCAAAGCAAGAACTTGCTTTTTTTTTAAAAAAAAAGTGCTTTACCACCGGAAACATCCCGAAAGCTCTTTAACAGTAAGAGTTGTGGAGTCTTGCAGCTCAGTGATTAGAGCACGTGTCTTGCAAGCGAGAGGCCCTTGGTTCGAATCCCGGCAGGGCGAAACTTTAATCAAGTTTCCTTAATTTACACGCCTCGGTTTACCAAGCAGTAAGTAGGAACCCAATTGTTAGTCGTTTGGCGTATCATTTTTCTGGGAGTAATAATCCATTAAAAAAAATTATAATTAGGTCACTCAATCCACGACTGTTTGTGGGAAACTTCTGTGTGCGATTAACTGCCGCATTTCACCCACAAAGTATTCAGTCAATTCTGTGAAGTGTTTTGAGGTATCTCGAAGATGTGAAAGGCACTATATCAAATGCATGGATTATTATAGTAATTACAATCAATTGGTGAGTATTTTTGTAGGCTAATGTCACGTTGTGCAACAGCAAAGTCTCACAAACAGCCATAAGCGGATGATCACTTAATCTGGAGCATTATTGGCCAGGACACCAAAAGAAATCCCTTCCCTTCTTGAAATAATGCAGGGGATCTTTAACGCCCATCTGAAGAATGGGTAGACTGGATTTCAGTTTGATGACAAATCTGAAGGATGGAACCTCTGACAATAAAGCACTCTCCAGCACTGCACTGGAGCATCAGTCTAACCATGAGCTCAAAGTCTTAACAACGGGCTTGAGTCTACATCCTTCTCACCTCGAGATGAGAGTACTACCTATTGAACAAAGCTGACAACAATGGTTTTGCGGCACAGCACATCAGTGGTACCACACAGTGACTGGATTCAGGTTCATAACAATCACTTTCTGCATATCCAAATTCTCAATGGTACTTTTTAAATATCCAAAGTCTCCATGGAGGGAAAATATTCATAGGCTCAACTCTTAAAGGTTACAACACCAGCAAAGACAGACAGCAAAATGAGTCCCCAATAATATTGCAAATGGGGAGCCCTATGGTATGGTGAACAGAGAACAGTGTCTCTGTGCTCTCAGTCGAAGTCTGAATTGGTCCATCCTTCCAGGGGGTAAGAAGCCAGAGTCCCAAGGAGAGTTTCTGCTCCTGGTCCCTCTGTAGCAGTCTCTATGGGTAGTGTGCGAGTGTGTGGCAGCCGGGTTTTATTGTGATGCCCTTAATGGTCGAATGGCCTATTGACACTCACTATCACACATGAACACTTAGACTGGTACTGGAGGGCAACCAGCAGCCTTAGAACTACACACTAGCAAGAGGAGGCTTAAGCAGGAGCAGATAGATACTTGCCAATGGATAGAAAAGTACAAAAATAATTGGGCACACGAAGTATTTAGAAAAATACTGCAAATGGAATAAAACCTGTGCCCTGTCTCGACCTCCCCCTTGGCCACTCAGCTAAAAATATTTTATCTACTGCTAACTTTGATTCACATACTTCCTCAAGGCGATCGGGTGCATCATTCAAACTGCATGGAATAAAGTTGAAAGTTCTTTTGAGTTTGAGGAAAAGCTAAAATAAAGTAGCTCTTTGAAGGAAGGGTTAACAGAGCTGCAGGTTCACTCTCACTGCAGCCTCCCTTAATCAATCACTTAATTTGGATTCCAACTATTTGCCACAATCAGATAATGCTCCTCCCAGTCCTTCCAGTTATAGCACCACAAGGATTTAATGGCTCTCTGAAAGCACTTAAAATATAAACATCTCTCATCCACCTTCTGCAAGCACAGTCCTGACAACGTCCATTACATTAGGTTTACAGAGGCTTCAACGCTTTCCCTGTTAACTCATGACTGTGCGGCTACTTGCACTGTTACGAAACGGAGAGATGATACATTCCTGGCAGCTGTTCTGGGGCTGCAAAAAAAAAATCTGGAGTTGAAGTAGCATGAAGGTGTAAACACTGCGGTATGAAGCTACGTGAAAGAATCCATTGAGAAATCACTTGACCTGTGTTGCAAGCAGTGCACGTCATCTCAATTACAAACAAACCTCCCCAACTGGAGATCAAGGAGATGTTGCTGTATACAATAGCCACGTAACAGGAGGTGACTTAATCATTAACCACGTCGAGATGGTCATGTGACGGTACATTGGATTTAATTTGTCTTAACACGCGAGAAGGTAAGTCTTTTCATCTACTCACACTACAACATTTAACTATTTTTCACTGACATTCAGCCACCGCTCCTCATTTTTCAGCAGTGCTTGCTATATTCACAGTTTACAGCCGTTTTTACCCCAGTCCTCTGCTGTTACTTCCCTCTAGTCATGTGAGAAATAAATATAGGTTTTGAAGGCTTGTTCAGAGGCAGAAGTCAGTGAACCAGGACTTTAACATTCTCAAATAAAGCTACTCAAAAGCCAAACCTCTTTCAGTCTCAAACTTACAGATAGTGTAGCACAAATCAGGTTTCCCCTGCAACATGCACTGGATTCACAGAAGCTGTCTCAGAGAGGAGTGCACCGGAACAGCAGCCTCTCCGATGAAGAAGCTTTACATTAGCTGCTTCAACAGTTTCAGCCCCTCCCAGGATGTCAGTATTTACCAAAGGATCTCTGAAGTTTAAAGTTCAGACACTGCTTGTCCTTCATTCAGGACTCGGAATGCCAGAACCAAGAGTCGAGACAACGTTTTTTTTCCGACTCACTGAAGAAACTTCATTTCAACATTACTAACATCACAAATAACAATAGGCACAAGTGAAAGACTGGAATCGCAGTCAATACAAAACAAATTATGCACAAAACGCTGGGTGGACACACTGTATTTTACACCACTCTTGCTGGACAGGTTATAATTTAGCTAGTTTATGACTATAATTTATTTTATTCTCACGGGCGGCAACAGACTTTTTTTTAACAAAAGCATACATTTTTCTTCCCTTACCCATAAACAACACCGTCAACAAACATGCGATCTCTCCAGGGGAGTACACCCAACGATGTCATTGTGCTGCAGGCTCAGTTCCAGAGTGGACCAGATTTCACCTTCCTAATCGTGAGGGCAGTCTATTTTACTGTGGAATATGATAATAATGATCCTCGCATTTGATATAGCGCCTTATCGCGTGTTCGAGACATCTCAAAGCGCTTCAAAGAATCTACTGTAAAGTGTATTTTGTAGGCAACTGCAGCAGCCATATGTTCACATCAATGTCCCACAAACAGTTATGGCCTGAATGACCAAATTCTTATTATTTTTTGAAAGGATTATTACCCCCAGGAAAACAATCTGCCAATCGATTAACATCCAATATAAAAAACAAATCATACCCACACATTCTAGCAGGCCATGTCCTCTGGTTTTACTATTCTGGACAAGTTGAAACAACCTGTCATGATCTATATTGTTTTGCCCCTTTGGAATCTTAAAGACAGCAATCATGTCGCCAGTCAACATTTTTTTCCCCAGTGTGAACATGCCCAATTTACTTAGTCGCTCCTCATAGTCCAGTCCTTCCATTCCCTCAATCATTTTGGTTGCCTTCTTCTGTATCTTCTCGATTTCTCCAATATCGTTTTTGTATTGCGGCGACCAGAATTGTACACAGTACTCTAAATATGGTCTCATCAATGATTAAACAGTGGAAGGACTACCCCACTATTCAGGGGTATTGCTACATCCCAACATCTGGTTTGTTTTACTCACTGCCACAGAGCATTATTCGGAGAGTTTCAATTTCACAGGTCCTTTTTGTTTTTCATACATATTTTCTTTCTGTTCAAATAATAGTCCCTACCAGGATGTTTTGACCTCATGTGAAGTACTTTACATTTCTCCACATTGAATTTCATCTGCCACTGATCTACCCAATTCCCAAGTATGTTCAAATTCTTCTGTAACCTATCTTGTTCAGCTTGGTGTCATCTGCAAATTTAGCCACTATGCTTGCGACTCCTAGATCCAGATCATTTATAAAAATATTAAACAAAAGAGGTCCCAAAACAGAGCTTGTGGAATTTCACTGGTTAACATTTTCCCAGTCTGATGACATTCCCTGTACCACCACCCTCTGGTTCTTCTGGTCAACCAATTCCGTATCCATTGTAATATACCTCCACTGATTCCCACTTTCTTTACTTTCAGTACCAGTCTCTCAAGAGGAACTGTATGTATCAAAGGCCTTACTGAAATCCAGATATACAACAACCACAGCCTTACCCTTATCAAGCTCGCTTGTCACACTATCAAAGTAATCCAGTAAATTAGATTGGCAAGATCTTCCCTTCATGAACCCATATTGGCTATCATTTATGATTTTATGATTTATGATTTTAGGTGTCTCAACGATGTGATAAAGAGCTATATCAAATGCAAGGATTATTATATTAAAATTATGTTTCAACGTGCACAACAACCACTATTTTACATCTATACACCTTTCATATAGGGAGGTGATCTCAAAAGCTCTTCAAAAGATTATTATTATTATAAGTCTAAATTGCTCAAAATTGTGATAAAACTGAAAATAAAAAGATACTTCATTCCGGTACTCTGCCCATGAGCACTTTAAGAGAAACAAGTGGAAACCTTATTGCTTTATTGTTGCCTCCTACAGCAAGGCCTGCTGAAAACACAACTTATTGAAAGCGGAACTTTGTTTATTCAACAACAACAAGATTTCATTTATAGAGTGCCTTTCACGTCGGGAGGACGTCCCAAGGCGCTGGACAGTTGGGTCGGGACCCGAGCAGGGGGGAAATGGTCAGGGTGAGGGGAGGGAAGGGAGGGAGCGAGGAGGGGGTAGAGAGTCGAGAGGGGAGCTGAAGGCACGGTTGAAGAGAAAGGTCTTGAGACCGGCCTTGAAGGAGGAAAGGGAGGAGGCAAGGCGAAGGCACTGGGGGATGGAGTTACAGAGCCTGGGGGCTGAGAGGCTGAAAGCCCGGCCACCGATGATAGGGCGGTTAAGGCGGGGGATATGGAGCAGACCGGAGCCAGAGGAACAGAGGTTACGGGCAGGTACGTGGGGGGGGTAGTAGGTCGGAGAGGTAGGAGGGAGCAAGGCCGTGAATGGCCTTGTAGGTGAGGATGAGGATCTTGAAATCGATCCTCTGGGGGATGGGGAGCCAGTGGAGGCGAGCGAGGGTGGGAGTGATGTGGTCCCGAAGCCTGGTGCGGGACAGTACACGAGCTGCAGAGTTCTGAATGACCTGCAGCTTGTGGAGGGAGGTGCCGGGAAGGCCGGCGAGGAGAGAGTTCCCATAGTCCAGCCTTGAGGTGATAAAGGCGTGGACCAGGGTTTCAGCAGCGTGAGGGGTGAGGTAGTGCCGTAGTCTGGCGATGTTCCGGAGGTGATGGAAGGCGGTGCCAGTTGTGGAGCGGATATGGGGGAGAAAGGACAGCTCAGGGTCGAACAGAACGCCGAGGTTCCTGATGGCTTTGAGAGGTGGAGAGTGCAGCCTTGGATGCTGATGCTGTCAGCGCCTGAGGTGCGGAGGCGCTGACGTGAGCCAATCAGGAGGGCCTCAGTTTTACGCACGTTGAGCTGAAGAAAGTTATCTCTCGTCCAGGACTCGATGTCGGACAGGCAGCTGTCAGGACATCGGTGGTCGTGGAGTTGAGGGTAGAGGAGGAAAGGTAGAGTTGGGTGTCATCCGCATACATGTGGAAGTTAACCCCATGTCTGCGGATGATGTCACCACAGGGGGAGCATATAGAGGGTGAAGAAGAGGGGACCGAGGACAGAGCCCTGAGGGACACCGCAAGAGACAGTGCGGGGGCTGGAGGAGAAGCCGTTTGCAGAGACAAAATGAAGACGGTGGGAGAGGTACGACCTAAATCACTCAAGGACAGGGCCTTGAAGGTTGAGGTGGGAGGACAAGCGGTGGAGGAGGATACAGTGGTCGACTGTATTATTGAAATCTCGATTATTCGTTGCAATTCCTAACAGGTGGAACGTGGGAAGTTTAAGCAGGACTAGCAGGCCTGGTACTAAGCCTAAGTGGGAGATGGGTCTATTAGTGATTGGGAGGGGCTGGATGGAGTCTGAGCAGGAGGTGGAATAGGAGAAGATAGGACCCAAGTCAGAATGAAAACAGCTTCTCCCCCCTGCAGGGCAATCTGCCTTGTGTTAAAAGAAAATCCATAAGAATAGTACATGAACTTGTTTCCATTAATTATATTTCTCGTAACAGGTGTCTCACTGAACCTACTGGGGGCCAGTCCAGTCACTGTGTTATCTTGTTGGTGGCATCCCTTACAGTGAAACCTCAATTTGACACAAGTGTGATTATCCTCCCCTCCATTATGTGGGATAATTCAAGTTCCACTGCAGTTAAGAATATACCCCTTAAAAACCTTATGCTTTTTTTCTGTGAACTTATTCAGTGCTTATTGTCTTTGTTGTGCTACCACTTGCACTCCACAGCCTCTACACATGACCACAGTGGAACTGACGACCTGACAACAGGAGATGAATTTGCAAAAGAAAGCAAACGCCTGTGTCACAGTAGCCCACTTGTTTGGGAACAGCGTCATTATTACAGTAAAACTGCCACTGAAACCAGCCAAGAAATTATGAGAGTCAGAGTGCTTCAATTCCAACCAGTCATGAGACTGCAAAATGCTGCCTGGAACATTTTTGTTCTAAGTTAGATAATTGTATGAATAAATCTAAAAGGCATCTATTTGCAGGGATCATGCAGTAATCCATCCACTGCTTGAGGCTGGTATAATTCAAGTTAAAACATTTTTTTCCTGCACAAAGGGTTGTGAGAAAGTGCAAAGCATTACTAGAAAAGAAGATTTTAAAATATACACATACGTAGGAAGAATGATTGTTAATGGGTTTGAAGAAAGAGTGGGAAAATTATATTAAAAATATAAAATACTGCCATGATTTAATAATGATATTACATTTGGAGTCCTGTAGCGTATTGGTAAGAGCACTTGCCTCTCAAGTGAGAGGACCTGGGTTCGATTCCCGGCTAAAGGCGAAATCTTTCCTTACACCACACGCGTCTGTTTACAATTTTGTATTGTATGTCCAGTAATATCTAGGAACCCAGTTGTTAGTCAATAGCTTTTCTGGGGGTAATAATCTCTTAAAAACAATGCGGTCACTCAATCCACAACTGTTTGTGGGACACTGCTGTACACCATTGGCTGCTGTATTTTGCCTACAAAATATACAGTTAATTCACTTTACAGTATATTCTTTGAAGTGCTTTTAGACTCCCCAAAGATGTGATAAGGCGCTATATCAAATGCAAGGATTATTATTATATTTGATGTAGCCTCTTTCATATCAGAAGGTCATCTCAAAAGCATTTCACAGGATACTCCGTAAAGTGTAGTGACTGCGCATTTGTAGAAAACAATTTGTACACAGCACTGTCCCACAACTAGCCATGAAGTGAGTGACCAAATTTATTTGACAGATTGTTGCCAGGACATAATAACATCAACAAACTGCATTTATATAACACCTTTCACATTGGGA